CCTACCCACCTACCTACTACGTACTACCTACTACGTACCTACCTACCTACTACTATATATACTATACTATATATATATATATATATATATATATATATATGAGTATGGTATACCTTATATATATATATGTATGAAGTCCCATACCTTGTAGCCGAGGTCATGCAGTAGCTTGGCGGTCGGCAGGAACTGATGCTGGAAACGGTGCTGGATGCCAATCAGTAGACTCGACTGCTTGCGTGGCAGACGGAACCCCGTCGACATCAGCGCTTTCAGGAACGCTGTGTAGATGTCTGTGCCGAAGCACGCGACCTGGAGGCAGGTAGCAGAGTTAAGCAACATGGAGCAATGATCATCTGGCAGAGATGACAGATAATACTGCGAATCATGAGGATTCTGTCTGTGCAATTAGCATTGATCAAACTTGGTATCAAAAGTATGATGCAGGCCATGCCACACATGATGATGATGATGATGATGATGATGACCATGCAATTTGAGTATATATTGTAGATTTGCTCTTAATTTTTTTGGGAAAAAACGTGCAGCTAGTATATCATAGATTCTGATCATTATATATATATATATATATATATACTAACATACATAAAGGAAAAACAGTTACCTCTCCAGTAGATGCCATTTCACATCTAAGCAAGGGGTCTGCATCTCTAAGACGTGGCCAAGAAAACATGGGTGCCTGTCAAGCACAAGCACATAGACAATTACCCACCTAAATTGAGCTCATGACATGACACAGTCTACAGTTTAAGGGTGCCTTGCCGAGCACATGCTACTAGTTGCTATTCGGTTATGTAGCAAGGGAAATGCAGAGGTGTGATTGGCTTTAGTCCTTAAAGCTCGAGGGGTAAGGAAGCATTTTCCTGCAATCTAAACCATTTCCTGGCATCTAGAATTAACTTTGAAATCACAATTTTCTTGCTATCAATTTTAGTCCCACAGTCTAGAGTGAACATTATTTCTGTAATATTCAACTTATTAGCTAACCTAAAGACACTACAATTGTATGTATTGTATATTATACATGACAGCCGTCAACAGAGAACTCGTTTAATCACCACCAAACAATGTATTTGTGCCTTAAAATTTACTGCAATCTATGAATTTTTTAAATTTTAAAATTTAAAATTTAATTTTAAAAAAATTTATTACAAATTTGAACATTTCACAAAATCGACCCGGGGCTGTTAAAAAGATGGTGTTAAAAAATTCTGGCAAAAATCGGAAAAATCACACCTCTGTAAATGTCACGTTAGTAAAATATAGCAAACTGTAATGACGAGAAAGCACATCAGTGTTCCAGTGTAGCCACAAGGAAAGAGAGTATCGCAGAACAGCTAACTGGCGACTTAAGGCTAACTCAGGTCGCCCTTACGACATAGTCGCCGACAAAATTTGAAGATCGTACGTCAAAAACCGGCCAGATCGCCGATAAAAACATTGCCGACTAAACTCGACATGAGTTCTCTTACGATCGAAAATACGGTCGCCGACTGCGATCGCAGGAATAGAAATGGTTCTATTTCTATGCGGCGGTCGGCGACAAATCGTGAGTGGCAGCCAATCACCGCTACGTGTCGAGTCACATGACTATCAAAAGTCACGTGATTAACAAAATGGCAGCCTACACAGCAGTTAACAAGGTGGGATTATTGCACAAACCCTTTCTCAAATATATATTAAGTTTTCCGTATATCACAGGCAATTTTTAAAATTCTTTTTCTGCACATGATTATATAACGATTTTCAGAAAATTGAGGATAGATTTACGAAGTTACCTGATGTTTACTGGTAAGCGCCATTTTGTTGGTTATGTGACTCGTTTTATGTAGACTGCATGGTCCCGGCGTCAAGCTTGCTCTGTTTGTGCTAAATAACTGCTTGTGCTAGTACAAATACTGGGGCCGCGAACCCATCTACATTTCCTGCAGAACGCTACGATCTGATCGGCGATGTACAGCGTGAAGTCACTTCAAGTCGACGTGAGTGTTGCTACGCTGCTAATCGGCGATAAAGTAGTCGCCGATAGTCAAATCGTAGGGCGACCTGAGCAGGGCTTTAGTTGAGATTGCGTAGTAATTCGTGCAGGTTGGAGCAGCGAGCAGCGAGCATATATACCTTTATGCCTACATAGTCGGTCGGCGTGTGAGGATTCTCGAGGGTTGGCAGATTGCGTCGGTCGAGCAGCTCCCCCAGCCACAGCCTTGTCGCGATGTCGATCAGATCAATGCCCATCGTCTTGGAGACGAATGGGAATGAGCGGGATGCTCGCAAGTTACACTCGATCACCTGCACAAATGCGTAAAACGATTACGTAAATGTAAGAATCACGCACGCACATGCAACGATCGGCCGCGAGATGGCAAGGACACTAATGTCGTGATCAACTGCAACAGAGCTGCAATGACCATAAAGTAAGGATTTCAAACAATCTTCCCAACCGTTCTCGTATTTTTCTAAACATTACAATACTTACTAGAATTATTGCCTGCATAATAGCAAGTGTTTCGAGTAAGGCTAGCATGTCTTGATTAGAACACTGCTACATCGTTACTTTCACCAAAAATATGCAATGATTGAACTTCATTTGTCTTCATTCTTGCTGACACCAGGAGCTTCTTCTGAGGATGCCACTCTTGCGAGACCACTTAAGGAATGTAACAAAGACTTATAGGAATTTACTTAATAAAATTAATGAAACCACCTATATGTGCAGAAAAAACATGGCCAAAAGTAAAATTTCACCTCCTATGATGTTACGATAATGCCATCCATTTAAATTGACTACGTCACGAATTTTCTATGGTGATATTTGTAAAAATTTTGTAAAGTACTAACGGACTAAATGTATCGTCAAATTCTTACCTGATAAGATTGTTTCTCAACTAGTATAATTAACAATTCAAAAAAACCTGGACAATTTGATATTATTATATATATATATATATATATGTATGAGTCACGAGTGTATGTTTACATCAAACAATATAGGAATATAGGAAGTATAATGCAGCAATTTAACCATAAAAAGTAAACATAATTACTTACATTTTGTGAAAAAGTGGGAATTTTTTTTTTTAGTTTAACTATTTACGGTGACGTAATAACTTTAAGCAACATTTTTAACACCCTTATCTACAGCTCACGTTACAACATCATCATACCATCGCAGTGTTGTCCTTCACGATGAATTGCATGTTAAATGGTCCACTGATTTCAAATGCCTCCGCTATCTTCCGCGTGGCATTTCTCACCTGGAACATTTTTGTGGAAGACAATCACCAGCTGATCCATCTGCTTCATTCGATAGCCATTCGAAAAACTAAGCCATTCGATAGGATAATTCTTACGTTCTAATTATGTCGATTTATTCCCCATTCGTATGGGTTGCCAAGTATGCATGCATACACGCCACCACAACCCATCCAAGGCAACAGTTTTCACACTTATAAGGTTATCGGCCTTTAGCAGCTGTGAATTCTTGTATTGCCGTTTTTGCACACATCCAACTATACACACACACTCACACACACCTGCACAGGAACACGCACGCACACACACACACACAAATGTCTAACAGCTTTTGTAAGCAGTAAACTAGAATATTAGATGTGATATAATATAATATATTAAATTACGGATGTGTACAAGTCTCCATGATGTGGTGTGTGTGTAAACGTACGACGCAGCCCTGGAGGTGAATTACTAGACGATACAGAGGAGACTATAATGCCCATACGATGATAACACTGCATTATTGGTCACGATCACAAATGCCTCTAGTGGGATGGTAATACGTGAGCAAACAAGGGTCATGGACTTCTCTCCCACTGGGAATGATTCAGGAAGGGTAGCAGCCTGTTTTCGGAAGCTTCCCGTGACTGCTGCGTGGGCTCCCTCCCTCACCTTCAGGAGGGCTACGTCAGAGATGGTTTGCGTCGGCAGGATGAGCGTGGCGTCACCGCTGTGCACGCCAGCATTCTCCACGTGTTCCGTCACAGCGTGCGCCACCACCTGAAAGCAGAGCAGTAGTGATGAAACACATGTAGGTGTGCACACATAGCAAAGATGGGCTGCCAGTAGAGATGGCCACCAGCTTAGAGCTAGGCATTGTACTCCTGTCTCTGCATTGTACTCCCAAACAACCCCAAAATAATCCTAATCAAAAGTATCTAGACTGCAAAATCAATCATTTGAATACTACAAGTAATGTACTAAGCACATAACTGACACCAACTAATATAGGTAAATAATACATTCACTACACAATTATTGAATTAATATTTTTGAATTAATAATGAAAGATATACTTAAACATGAAAATCAATTATGAAAGAACTGGGGGATTATAGGACTTCCTTCTTGTGATTGTTTTTTCTGGTCTCCTTGATTTAGTCTGACCCCATCTGCTTTGAACCCTTCGTTATAGATCTACCACCACCCCCTCCTGGAACTCCCTCATGATAGACTGGCCCCAACCTCATCCCAGAGCTCCATCATGATAAACTGGCCCCCATCCCTTCCCAGAACTCTCTCATGATAGGCTGGCCCCCATCCCATCCCAAAACTCCCTCATAGAGTTCTTCGTTAAAATACCACTCGTGCATGCTCGGAGTTATCGGCGTGTTGCATGCTTGATTAGCTGGTGATCACGAAAGTTTGCAAAATGGAGTGCATTCCCTGATAGCAATCTTACGTTGGGCCAACGTTGGCATTTGGTTGGCACGGTCACGGTTGGCAATATGACGTTGGGCCAACGTTGGCAACGTTGGCACTGTCATGGTTGGCATGTGGTTGGCAATATGACGTTGGGCCAACGTTG